GTGGACAGTTTTCTAGTGAATGCATTAAATTTATAATCTAATGATACCTTTTTTTGAAGCTATAGTTTGAATGTCATTCATTCCTGTCAGTTTTATTATTACAAACGAATAAAAGAGAGAGAGAGAGGGAGAGAGAGAGAAAGAGAGAGAGATCGATGAGGCTAATCATAGCTTTATGCAAACTCTACTCGTTTACACCTTTTAATAAATGCCGAAAGATTGAAGAAAGCAAAATATTGAAATGATTAATATCTTATATCTTAATCGAGATTTTCTTTGATTTTAATAGGTCGTGAAAAATAAGAGGATGAAAAAGGGTGAAAAAAAAGAGAATTAAATAATGAAAAAGGTTACAAGCTATATGAATTTACTGGCCTATTGAGTTATCAATAAAAAGCCTAAATAATGTTAACTCGAGATATAAGGCTATGGACAAGGGCAAGAAAATAATGATACATTGATAATTTATAATTTTATTAATTTCTACCATACATAAATAGTCTTTAAAAAAATACGAAGAAAATGAATATTATTATATATAGGAAATAATCGTTTTTAATTTCAGATATCAATTATTATATTTGTAATTTCGCTACTTACGCCAAATTGGACTATAATCGATTTTACAAATACTGACCTCGAAGAAATACACGTGCAATTAGGTGTTTGGGGGGAATGGCGAACAAAAACAAATGGCACAAAACAAGTTGGTATGTTAACTTTTTAAAATATCAATTTTTAATTTTTTTTTTTTTGAAATAATATAATCGGAATTGTGTTAGGGTACTTTTTAGGATGAAAAATTTGGATTTTTCAAAAACGACAACTTCCATGTTCAATTTTTCACGAAAAAAAAAGTGATGCTTGGTAAATTATTGAATTCCAACTTTCAGTGGAATGGATACCGCATTTTCCGAAGCCTCCGGAACATGTTCTTCGACTTGCGGATGCTGATCTTAAATGTTCGTTTAACTTTTTCTTCTATATCACTTTTTTTTCTAAAGTTTCTCTCATCAAAAAAAAAAAAATTAACAGAAGAAAAAATTCAAAATATAAAGTGGATAGTTCAAAGTTCAAAAAATGTGCAATAGTTAAGTGATTGAAGTTTTCTTTTTTAAAAAAAAAAAAAAGAAAATCGCACAAGATGAAATCTATGGAATATGGCTTTTTTGCTCTTTAAGGATAATTGTTGTGAAGATCATGCGAAACTTATTACGTTAACTAATTTAAATATCTTACAATATCTATAATGGTAATTTCAAATTTAATTAAACACAAGAAGCAAAAAAAAAAAAGGCGAAACAAACTTTTTTGCGATTTTTGCAAAAATAAAATTGCGTTTCGTAAACATTTCTTTTGCAAAATATAATAGGAAAATCGAAATAATTGACTAAAATAAATCATTTGAATTTTTAGATTTCTATCTGGCGCAAATGGTATTCGGTATTATATCATTATTGCTGATGTTTTCGACTAATGCACTCGCAATATATACATTTTATCATCATCGTTATATTTTTAAACGCTTGGTTGCATGTCTTTATGGTGTTATTGGTAAATTTTTTGATTATTTAACATTTTTTAAAATTTCAATTTAACCCACATGCTATAACCGTTTTCAATAATGTTGAAAAGGAAACTTTTATATTTTAATTAAACATATTCTTGATTTTTAATCAAAATAATGATACCAATGAAAATGAGTGATAATGCAAATATTACATTTAAAATTTAACAAATTTTCAGCGATGTGTATCGTTGTTACGATAGAAATATTGACGAACAGCATTAGTGAATGGAATCGTTCCGTTGCAGAACAAGCAAAGGTTTAAATATTTTCCTTTTTTTTTTTT